TTTTATTAAAATTATTTAATGCTGCGATTAGTTATTTTAATGATGATTAAATCGAAATTTATTTGATTTTATATCAATTTAATGTCTTTAATACCTATTAAGGTATTTGTCATGTTTATAGTGGTGAAAGAGAAGTAATTAGTGAAAAATTAACTATATTAATCGTATAATTAGTGTAGATAAATGATAATTTTATCATAATTTGAATCATATTGGATTAAAATTATATAATTAATGTTTCTTTTATGTATTTAACATATATATGATGGTAAAATAAGTTTAATTATAATTTATTAAAGTTATTTAATACTGTAATTAGTCATTTTAACGATGATTTAATCAAAATTTATTTGATTTTATGTGAATCTAATATCTTTAATATCTATTAGGGTGTTTGCCATGTTTATAGTGTTGAAAGAGAAGTAATTAGTGAAAAATTAACTATGTTAATCGTGTAATTAGTGTATCTAATGATGTTAATACTTATTTTATGCATGTAACATATTTATGATAATAAAATATAATTAGTTATGTTTTAATAAAATTACTTAATGTTGTGATTAGTGATTTATGATCGATATTTGGTCAATTTAATATGTTTATATTTTATAGTTTATTTGATTTAAATTTGATAGGATCATGGCACCAAAGGAACAGCCACATTATGATGCATGGGTTCATGCCCGAAAGCTAGATGGAAACCGTCATCATTGGCAATGTATTTATTGTGACTACATTGGCAAAGGTGGAGGAATAACTCGAGTGAAAATGGATTTGACTGGTGGGTATCCTGATGTTGCAAAATGCAAGAAAGTTCCAACGGAGATCCGTAAATTATTTCAAAGCAAGCTTAAACAAACAAAGGAAGATACATTAAAAAAGAAGGCAAGAGTTGAGGAAGAATATCATAGGGCTACACAGGAACCGGTTTATGATCAGTATGAGGGTTGCGGCGATGAAGTCGACCCGGATCTCACAGCTGGGATTCGTGCATCATTGAAGCATCAGTATACGGTTGATGAAGCAATGAGGTATCGACGACCTAACTCACAATTTGAGCATGGCACTGGTAGTGGAATCCAGAGGTCAACCAGCATAAGGCAACCAACTGCTCCTTCTCAGCTAAGCCGAACTAGTAGCATGAGATATGGTGGACTCCGTGGTTTTATGAGAGGTCTTGGCAGGAGGTCCGCACCAGATATTGTTGATATTGATCCGCAAGCCTATCCCCCACAAACAGCGAAACAGACACGGATTGACGATGCATACACAAAAGAAAAAAAACGGGATATTGGGAAGACAATCTCAAAATGGTTTAACTTTCATAGGATTCCAGCCAACACAGCCAAAGGTCCATATTATCAGAGCATGATCTCCTCTATTCAAAAGTCTGGCACGGGGATCCAACCTCCAACACCAAAGGAGATTCACGGCGTGTACTTAGATGAGGAGGTGGCAGAAATAAAGGATTGGATCAAATCCTTTAAGAGGCAATGGGAAGAATATGGGGTGACATTGATGTGTGACAGTTGGACAGGACCAACAAGAATGAGTATCATCAACTTTCTTGTTTATTGCAATAGAAGAGTGGTGTTTCATAAGTCCGTTAATGCTTCTGAAAAGATCCAAGATGCAAACTACATTGAGAGCTTGATGGACACTATGATAGAGGAGATTGGACCACAGTATGTTGTACAAATAATAACCGACAATGGAGCGAATTTCAAAAAGGCCGGTTTGCAATTGATGGAAAAAAGAAAAACTTTGTTTTGGACTCCATGTGCAGCCCATTGCATAGATCTAATGTTGAAGGATATTGGTGAGTTGGATGCGGTCAAAAAATGTGTAGCTCGAGCACAATCAATTACAAAATTTATATATAATCATCATTGGGTCCAAGCATTAATGCAAAAGTATGTAAATGGTGAGGTACTTCGACCTGGAATTACTCGGTTTGCTACCAATTTTATTGCATTAAAGTCATTACAGCAAAAAAGGCCATTCTTGAAGGCAATGGCTAGCTCACAAGAGTGGTCTGAATCCAGATATTCAAAATTGAGTGATGGAAAGAAGATAGAAAAGGCCATTCTTTCCTCTAGATTTTGGGATACTATAGCAGAAATCATAAAAGGTGTGGAACCACTTTATATTGTCCTCCGTAAGGTCGATATGGACAAGCGTCCACAAATGTCATATCTTAAATATATGTTGATTTCAGCAAGAGAGGAGGTCAGGAAAGCATTTAAAGATGATTTTAAGGCCGACCAATACGTACGAATCATTGATCGTCGGACCGATGTTCATATGGATCAAGATATCCATAATGCAGGTAAATTCATATTCAGAATAATTTAATTTATTATTATTTAGATAATAAAAAATCATACTAACAAAATTATGTTTTGCAGCGTATTATCTAAACCCAGCAATTCAATATCGATATGCTCTCGGAACGCAAAATAATTTGCTAACGACATTACGAAATGTTATATATCGGCTCTTGCCAAACACTACCGAGGCAACCGATGCTCTTATGGAGGGTCGATTATTTCGAGAAACAATTGGTTCATTCTCCGACGTTGTAGCTGTATCGTGCCGTTACACTATGGATCCTGGTGAGGAAAAGTTATGCATATTGATTATCAATTATATTTAATGTTGATTATTTGTTATGCTAATAAAATCTTATTTATATCTTTTGGCAGTCGAGTGGTGGCTACAATTTGGAGGCGATGCACCACATTTAAGGAAGGTTGTCGTTCGTATACTTTCACAGACAACAACATCTAGTGGTTGCGAACGTAATTGGTCAACGTTTGCATTGATTCATACGAAGGTCCGCAACAGACTCTCCTACAGACGGTTAGAGAAACTAGTATATGTCCATTATAACATGCGGCTAAAATTGCGATGTGCTGAGTTGGATAAGGAGCCAGAGGAACCAGATATTGATCCTATTGACCTCCAATTCTACAACGAAGATTCAAAGCCAATGTTAGATTGGGTTGAAGCAGCAGAGAACCAAGAGGATCCTCTACTTGATGAGGCGGGAGATCCTCAGCGTCCTTCGCGTTTTATCACCGAGGCAATAGAAGAAGAAGAAGAAGCACAACCCCAATAGGTGGAAAATCCCCCTTGATTACAACATGGTATGAGTCAAACTGCTCGAGGAACTATCGATACCCAACGGTCACACTCGTTCGCCCAACGTGCAAAGGCAAAGGGGAAGGCAGTAGCATCAGTTGCATCGTTGGAAAGAATCGAGTCGGGCGACGAGACACCTTCACAATCACATTCTCTTTCTCGCTCGGTCCAGAGACATGACAGCAACACGGACAGCAGTGCCTCGAGAGATGATGGCGGTGATGCCGGGCAGTCGTTGGTCTCGTCTACACAACTTGAGGGTGGTGAATGGACTGAGGAGCAATATTTTACACATGCCACTCAAGATTCAGATCATGGAACTCGACAAGGTACTGGTCAAGTTTATGCGCGGAAGGGGAAGGGGAAGGGGAAGGCAGTGGATGAATATGAACAAATGCGACAGAGCATACATGATATAGACACAGAAAGAGACTCATCGTATTCACAGCAATCGTATTATGGAGAATCATATGGGCAACAACAGTATGGTGATAGTTGGTCATCCTTCTTTGAGCAACAGCATGATACAGAACAATATATGCCTCAAGAGCTGCCTCGGACAAATATGATTCATGACGATCAATCTACGATCAGCACCACATTAATGCATCAATGGCATACGGTGTATCAATACACTATGTCATGGGATCAATTTCATGATTGGGTCCAACAAACGTATCATATTGATATGTATCGGATCGAGGACCCTGATCCACCACCCGTGGAGGCCTGTCGTTCATTTTGGTGGTAGAATTAACAATCAGGTATATCTAGATATATGATTATTTAATTCATTTGAATTTTAGAGTTTATATTGTAACAAAATAGTCTAACAATTCAACTAATTTTTCTGTAGATATTTCAATCTATAACGAGCTGAAATACGAACCTCGAACAAGACTACCTCAAAGCCCGAAAAAGATATGTGATGCTATTCTTACCTAATTTACATTGATTTTGCTAAACTTATACTATTACTATATTTATTTGTAACTTGAAAACCCTATCCTAACTTTTTTTTTAATTTTCAGGTATTTTCGGAGGGTTAAATCGGTGAAATCGGGTGTACCGCTCGGTACACCTCGGTATACCGGTCGGTACACCCGTACCGTACCGTACCGAGCGCGGGTCGAAACGTCGGTACGATACGGTACAGCGAACCTTGCTTTGTGCAATTATAAAGTTGCACATATTTGACCTGAACATTCGGAATTCTGGGACACAAAAGTAATCTTAGCTTACAAGGGTAAAAGGTTGCCCATTGTGTCCTTTCCTAGCCCCACATTTGTGGGAATATTATGCACTATCTGCCTTATCATCCTACAGCTAGCCAATTCCCATTATCAGGCTGATGATAGAAACCATCAACAGCTCAAGAAAAAAATTACACAGGAGAATGGCATCAACATTTTCAGATGCATGCATGGCACCTCTAAATTTCAGTCTTTCCAGAATGTCATCAAACATGCATGTGCTATTAAGATTCTATGTGCAAGCCTCCATCTTGGAACCCAAATAAAGCCGTCTATCAACAAGTGGTTTCTGTGATGGTTTCTTAGAACATGGATCCATCATGAACTTGCACAAAGAAGTCTGAGGAGCAGGAAGGTTGAAACATTTTTCTTAATTAAGAGACTCATTGAGGCAAAAGCAACAGACATAATCAAAGAAAGAACTTCCTCCATGCCAACAACAATGTTGAATAAATTAATAACTGTACTAGTGTCTGCCGTACCGAATCATACCGCCCTGGGGGTACCGCTCGGTACACCTGGGTGTACCGCTCGGTACACCGTACCGTACCGGTACCGAGCCCAGGTCGAGATACCGGTACGGTACGGTATTGCGAATCTTGAACTGTAGTAGTGCGCACTGGAATATATTTTGTGTACACAAATCAGTGAACACAAGTTTTATTCCTAAGGAATGATCCATAAGTCCTGGTTTGTTTGATGTGACCTATTACATATCACTTTGGTCACAGATGACCTAAAGCAAATGTTGGGACACATAACATGACTAATTCTTACATATTTATAAGAAGGCAGCAATGATTTTGAATTTACAATATATAGCAAATAGGTGAACATGTAGTCATGCAGAAGAATTTCTCATGTACTACCAGTTATTGCTCTTCGCTATCATTTTAATCAGTTATTGCTCTTCGCTATCATTTTGTAGATAGGCCTCACCTTAAATCACTGTGATGCCCTTCTGATAATATTCTTTATATATGCGCTACCAGTTATGTAGCTAACGATCATCTGGACACCAAATTGGCCTAAGCTTCCTTCACATTGATCTTAACAACTATTAGACGTTATGAAGATTCTAAATTAGCATGAGCAGATGGAATTCTCATGTACACAAGGTAATAGAAAGTACAGGCCTAACCTTACACAACCCTTTAAGGTGCTAATGAGCTATTTGTCATAACCATGCAGCACATGCCACAGGACTAATGAACCCTTGTAAGGGTTGGTACAAGTCAGTGGTTGGAAAGAGGGGAAATAAACAGGAACTTGTATGGACTGCTAAAAAGTTGTTTGGAAGCTTTTTTTGTGCATCATAAGAGATGACCTCAATCAATAAACAATAGGGATACATAAATTTCATGGATATACCAATTGTCTTGAAAAAATGTCAACAGCTCCTAGTGTTGCAAAGATCAAATAGTACATAGGAGCAACTCTCGAGGAATCTGGAACTCAATTTGGGATATACATATTTTAGCATCAATTCAACTTGACAAGGTACTTCCATCTAATCTCCTTGATGGTCCATTGATTTAATATGGTTCTTATGAAAAGTGTACTCATATTTAAGGATTTAATATCCATATTTAAGGTACTTCTCTTGCTGTCTACAATTTAGTTCATCCACAAACAATAGGCATCAAGAACACCATTTATGCACCCATATGTAGATGTTTTATATCATACGAACCTATTTTTCTGAAACTATGTTCAAAGTAACTTCTCTCTGCTTCCAGATTAATTAAATGACAAATAATAGCCATCAGAAAAACCATGTGTGTATATTCATAATTGGATCATGAGAAGAAATAAAAAAGATCCTTAGGAAAAGCATACTTCTGAAAAAAGTTATGCTTCTTTAAACGTGAAAAAAGAACAAGATTTGTCTTCCCCAACTTTATTACCATCAAATGAAAAATCTCCTCCATGATATAATTAAAGAAAACCATTGCCACACTAGGCTTCAGAAGGGTATTTGATTAGATATATTATCCATTGTGGAATAAACTTGGGAAGGGTATCAAATCAGAGCACTTAGTATCCATTTACATGCGAAGCTCCTTAATACATTATTAAGAACCCATGTTGTCACAATCCGAGTCTGATGAGCCAACTGGCCAATAACTTCATTTTGGTCCTTCAACCACTGACCAAAATGCTTAAGCAGGAGTTAATGTAGTACACTCATCAGACTCATATAAGTCAATCATACACATTACCCACTTCCGATGTGGGACTAATGGGATGTTACAACTTACAATACCCCCAACTCAATTAGCTTGATGTCCTCGTCAAGGCCCAACATAACCCAGATCGAACCCTAGCATAGTGCATGTGAGGTTTAACTCAGTGGTGGCTCCATGCCGTGATGAGTTCTCAACTCCATCCACGGGTAGCCCTTTCCTACTCGAGCCCTCTCACCCTGCCCAAATGCTAAGTTGGCTCTGAT